ACATCATCTTATCTTCATTTTTACCTTCCTCACTTCATTTCTAACTTCATCATCTCTGTCTTTATCATATTCATCATCTTCCACTTCAATCTACCTCCATCGCCTCTCATCCTCATCATCTTCTATATTCATCGTATCATCTTAACCATTATTATCTTTTAAAATTGAAAAAATGAAATTTGAGAGTCTTGGAAAGTCGCTGGAAAACAGATCTGTAAAGCGTTTGTGGCCTCGACGAAATTATTAAGCATAGAAAAGAAATATACTACCTTAGTTCTTAAATAATGTAACATATGGAATTTTACATTATTCATATGTTCTACTTTGACTACGTTTTATTTATTAATGTATGAATATATTTTTATGAAAAAAATATTGTTAAATTTGTCTCATTGTAAATTTTCAATATCTAATTTTTTAATTTTTTTTACTAATATAAATTTATATATATTAATGGTCAAAGTTGTGTCTCGGCAAGTGTGAAATGTTGACCGTTGCATTTATTTAAGAACGGAGGAAGTATATAAATTGATTTTAAATAAACAACTAATGTGCATAGACATTGATTTCAGTGCAGTCAAACTCTGATGTTTCAAAAAATGGCACACAGTCAATGTTTATATATAGTCATTAGTAACAATTTCTACATTTTTGTTGTATTTCTGGTGGTTAAGGTGACCGGAGAAGATAAAATCAAGTACATGGACCAGACCAAATGTGAAATTGGTGTAGAATTTGTAATGCCAAAAGTAGAATCAGCAGTATATACACGAAGTATTTCATCGTCTCACATCCGATCAAGTCAGTAATTAATTACCCACCAAAAGCATTCAAGATAATGATAAATTGATTAAATGATACAATCCAGTAATAAAAGAAATTGTTTCCATTAGACTAAAACATAAACAAAGTCTCAAATAAGAATAACTACGTTTTATTTCTAATATAATCGTTTGATCATATTTTAGGGGGAAAGTTCCCGAAATAGTACTAAAATAGCTTGAAAATTCCAAAATAGGACTGTCAAGTTTTTATTCTGGGGGAAAGGGGCAAAAACCCCCTTAAAGTTGTACCTAAAGGTCATATAAGCCCATAAACTAAATTTTTGTGCAAAAATCTTGATATCTAATAAAAAGGGGGCAACTTCCCCCTTGTCTAACGGTGAGTCCAAATAGATAACAGTCTGAAATTGACTCAGCTAAGAAACCCTAATCCGAATGAGAGGAGTCTTCCAAAATGCGAATTAAACTGCTCGCTTATCTCTGAAGTTCAAAGCCCTCTTCCTCGTTTTTCGACGAACTTAATCAAAAAAGTTTCCTTCTTCCTCTGTAACTCCATCGATGAAGCTGTCGTCCTCTTCCATCGACTAACTCTACCGGCAAAGCCGCCTTCTCTCCCTCTCTGAAGAAGGTAAAACAATTTGTTTGTGTAGTTGTAATTCTTGTAGTCATTCTGTACAAATCAGCTTATGAAAACCCCTTAATTCATGTGCATATTAGAGAAAATTTACTTCAGTGTTTTGTGCTATCAAAAGAATCTTACTTGATGTTTTTTTAACCATACGAGATGTGCTATTATTGCTTTATACTCCAGTGACTATAGAAACAATCTTACTACCTTAATTGCTTTATATATACTCCAGTGGTACATAATTGGATTACATTAAAACATTCAATTTTTGTTAAGAAAACTTTCTAAAGAAACTGTAATGGTGATTTTATTGAGGACTTTTATGGTTTAAAGCTAGAATCAAAGATGGTTTCTTCTAATTTATTTTCTGGAGTTATTTCTTGTAAAATAACAATACTCAAGAGTAATGACTTTTTTATGGGGATAAGGGTCAGTTTGGTCCTCGAAGTTGCAAAAAAAAGGGTCAAATAAGTCCTTATATAGAAAATTCTGTCCGGACGTGCCATTTGAGGTGACTCCCAGTGGAATTTTTTGATGAAATTTTTTGAGCATCTTATTCATTAAGTCTAGTTTACTCATACCAAATTTCAAATAAAAATTCAATCGGGAAGACATTCAAATGAATTCTTGAAGATAACTGTGCCGTTAAAAGCGCAGTTATCTTCAAGAATTCATTTGAATGTCTCCCCGATTGAATTGTTAGCTGAAATTTGGTATGAGTAAACTAGATTTAATGAATAAGATGATCAAAAAATTTCATCAAAAAATTCTATCGGGAGCCACCTCAAATGGCACGTCCGGACAAAATCTTCTATATAAGGACTTATTTGACCCCTTTTTTTGCAACTTCGAGGACCAAATTGACCCTTTACCCCTTTTTTATGACTTGTCACACAGAATGGATTACATCTATAATGATGTTCCAACCGGCTATGTGAGTGATATAGAAGATGATAATGAAGACGAGCTACAAGAAGTCAGTGAAGATGAGGAATTTGAGTTGAATGAAATCTGCACGGAAGGTGATGAATTAGTGGATAATAGGAACAATTGTGATGCAGAAAGTGGCGAGTCACATTTCAGATTAGGAATGACATTTGGTAATGCAAAAGAAGCTAGAAGTGCTATTGCTAGGTGGTGTGTTACAAACTGACATCAACTTGGATGCTCAAACAAAGATGGCGATACCCTGTGAAAGAACATTACGAAAAAAACTTCCTGTTAAGAGAGCAAGTGAAATAACAAGGAATATTCGATTCTATGGAGATGGATATGATGTTAGAGAACCGTCAACACTTCCTTTTAAGTCTTCTGGCATGAATTGGTTAGGAAATCCTGCAATTACGGCAAGAGAACTTGAAGCATATCGCGATAAAGTTGTAAATCAGGAGGGTGGATCGAGAGACATTTTCCAAGGATAACAAGTTGTGGAGGCAGAATGTTTTCTTTAACATTAAACTAAGCATTTTCTACTTTTTTTTGTTGAAACTGGTATTACTTCTACTGAAGTGGGATGCTATGTAGTTTGGCCTTTTGCGGAAATTTTACTTTTGGCTGTAATTTTTGATGATTGTGACTGCTCTTTTTTGGGTGAACATGTTTAATGTTTCTTTTAAGTACATTTGTTCTATCAAGAATTTATAATAGCTTGTTTGATCACCAATTTCATCCAAGGACAAGTGATTTATGTCTTTGGGGAAAGTTGGATATACCAACATTTCTATTTCAACGTTTTTTTTACATGGGTTGCAGCTTTATTTACCACGGTTTTGGGCTTTTGGCATGAGTTTTACTTTTTAATTTCACATTTCAGTTAGTTAAAATGAGCTGTGACCCTCTTTGCATGTTTATTTAAGATATTTGCTCTCAAAAAAATGTTTATGGGCTTAAGATGCATAATGTGACAACTTTGAGGGTGTTTTTGCCCCTTGCCTCAAGAATTCAGCAAGACTATTAACAGGCCGTTTCCTCACAGTTAGACAAGGGGGAATTTGCCCTCTTTTACTTAGATATCAAGATTTTTGCACAAAAATTTAGTTTATGGGCTTAGATGTCCTTTAGGTACAACTTTAGGGGGCTTTTTGCCCCTTTTCCCTTTTATTCTCAAAATACGAGTAATTACTGTCATGTTTGAAAAATACTGTCATGTTTGAAGTCTGATACTGCCAAAATATGGCAGTAATTAATCCTATTTTGGGGGGAAAATACATGGTAGTCCTATTTTGGAATTTTCAAACCTTTTTAATCCTATTTCAGATAATATTCTCTATTTTAGGAGTATAAAAATTTCTCAATTAGAAACGAATGAGTCTTACTTTAAACAAAAAAAAAAGTAGTCTTTTTTGTACACTTCGTCTATATCTTAATCTTATTTTAAAAAAACTTTCTCAATAAATAACGTCAATTGCCGTGTGTTCCAATTACCAAACATTATTTTTTTTTGCTAGACTTTTTAGTCTCTCTTATAGTATTTGTTAAATGCCAAACATTATTATGGGGTTTTTATTTAAATATTACTAATTTTGAACCAATTACCCAAAAAGTGACCACTTTTAAAAAGAGGCAAAAAAGTGATCAAGAAGGTCATATATTTGAAAAAAAGATAATGTCTGTCAGATTTGTATGTCACTATTAAATTTTATGTCATTGAAGCCACCGCATGTGTCACTGTAGCCACCGTCGTGTCACTGTAGTCACCGCCCATGTCACTGTAGTCACCGCCCATGTCACTGTAGGCACCACCCGTGTCACTCTCGCCGGAAAACATGTCACTGTGATCGTTTCCGGTCAATGAAATTGCCTTCGTCCGACCTATCAGCAGCCACCCCGACCCCACTCGCACTCAGCTCCGGCAACCACCTCCGTTAGTGACACCATAGCCGCTGCCCCTAACCATGGCCAAACAAGCCCCTCCCCCACTCACCAGCCCCTCTTCAGCCCCTCCCCAACCAAACCAGCCCCCTCCACAACCACCCAGCCCCTGACCAGCCCACCAGCCCCCATCCCCATCCCCTGCCCCCACCCAAACGTCCAGCACAAGAAAACCCATGTCCCCATCCCCCTCCCAAACGTCCAACACCGGAAAACCACGCTCCATTGACAATCCAACAAATCTGGTACCGACAATTCACACAGCGGCGGCGGCGGCGGCAGTCCCTGAGCTCCAGTGGCATCGGCAACTCAGCACTCTAACGAGCTCCAGTACCTGTGACGATCCAGCCTCCATGGATGAAGATGGCGGTGTCCACCTCCCCCTTATCCGCGATGGAGATGGAGGCGATGTGAGGAGCTTCTCTTCGTCCGATATAATTTTACTAAATCAAATAGATCAGCCTCCATTGGCGAAGAAGATACGAGAAGAAAGAGACCACGACGGAGATGGAGGCGAAGGAGAAAAGCTTATCTTTGTCCGATTTGGTCATTTGGATTGAGCGTAGAGAAGGTAGCTTTGTCCGATTTTGGATCTCGGAGAGCAGGACTTGGACGCGCAGAGAAGTCGAGCATAGAAGAAACGTCGTTTTACTTCCTTTTTCGTCCAAACGAAAATCGGTCATATTTCTATCCGATCAAAGCTGAGAACTAATATTCGTGCCATTCTTTCCATTATTATTCAAGTCGAAATCAACTTCATAAGTGTTCTCCCTCTTTTTTCAGTCGAAGTAATAAAAGTTATTGGGAGGCTCTAGATTGGATGATGATGATGATGATCAATTGATCACAATGCATTTGATGATAAAGGAAGGAATACGAAACCTAAAAGCTCTTGGCATATGCCATGCACCAATTGATAAGGCGTCCATGGCAACTTCTAGCGTGAGTTTACTACAAAAATCTAGGAAGCCCAATATGACTCCAATAGAGTATTCTTCGTCTATGGCCTTATAAAAGCTATTTATTATAGTGAGATTACAATAGATGATCGTATAGTGAAAATGGATGGTTGTGGTGATGCACTGATGACGTATACCGTATATCATATGACTTTATAATGGAGTCATATAAAAGTCCATATTATTTCTCAGAGGACTACGGTAGTTCAGGCAATGGAATTATTTCTTGTGCATCATTATCTTGGCCCACCTCATCGTGTTTTAAATCGGAAGTTTCTTCTGGTAGACGGAGAAACGGCCGCAAGGTCATAACCAGCCCCAGCAACTCAATCACATTTAGGACGAAGAAAACCAGTTGATCCCCTGCACGTGCATTATCATCATAATAAACACACCATTACATTACATTACATTACATTCTTTAAGAATAATTTTAAGAGGAAGTGTGCATTTTTTTTCTTTAGAAAACTTTACATCCAGTTTCATCAGTTGGTAGCTTACCTGGCATAAATTTGGCATCTTGTCGCCTTTGTGACCATGATAACCTGAAAAACAAAATGTTTGAAATGGTTAGTCAGAAGTGTTATACTCATATGTATGTTTTAATCTTCGTAGTTTTCTTATTTTATAAGACACTTTTGGTATTAGTATTTGAGTTTTTTTCTGTTTTAGTCTTCCAATACATAGTTTTGATGAAAATTATACTTTTGTTCATCCCATACTTGTAATAATAACACTTTTGGTTCTCCAACTACTATGAGAGAATTCAAAGACAAGAAAAATCATAATGTCATCATTACAAAAGTCAGATGGCTAAAAGTCAAAAAAATTGAAGATATGGTACCACAATCATCTGTCACCATAGTCAATAGGCAGATGACTAAAAATAAAGAATTTAAATACTGAGTACTAAAAGTGTCATTACAACAATAGTAAGATGACTACAAATACAAACAAATCATTAGTGTGAGCTTAGTGTAATATATCTTCAACCATTATCAAATTAACAAATATATCTAACTCGATATTTATCTTTTATAAAAAAAAAACTCAAATTTCATCGTTCATTACTACGTAGTAATATTTATAGAAATATTCTTCTTTTTATTCAATACTTTTTCCCATTCCTTTTGTGTTTCAAGTTAAAAATATGTTTATGTAGGACTCTAATCAAACTATGGTGTAGCAAAGGGTCTATGAGATTTTATTGGAGCATTTGTTCGTGGAGATGAGCACACTTTTGGTGGGGCATGGAAGGCTTACATGTGTATACGTGTTTTGATTGATATAGCGAAGCCGCTCAAATGCTAAGTGAAGCTTCGGAAGAAGAATGTGATTGTGTTCGTGTGGATTTTAGAAATGGGAAACTTCCAAGCTTCTGTTTCTTGTGTGGAGTTATTGGCAAGGCTGATAAGTCTTGCCCGTTGATGGCGCCGGAAGAGTTTTTATTTAATTAAATACAAGTACATAAAAAGTACTAATATTGGTATGATTCCTATTTTGAAAAAAAACATGATAAAAAAGTATTATCAAAATATGTGAAGTTTGAATTTATATAAAGATAAATAATAGGGAGTATTATAGATTTGAGAGTTTGCTGATAGTTGGAGATATACTATAGTACTAAGCTGATAATTCTTAGTTTAATTATTTTACCCACATTCCTCCACACTTGCCATTCCAAGATGATTAGTCTATATATTGAGAGGACAGAGCAACAAAGGAAACAACTCACAGAGAACCACCAGCTGCAGGACCAATTGTTTTAAAAAGTGACATTGCAGACATTGAAATCCCATTGGCAGCTCCCCTCTGCTCCTGACACTGAAAATTGATTTCAACGTTATACCTCTAACCAAACCTGTCTTTATAAGGCACGCATTTGGAAGTCATAACCTTGATGACTTAATTATATGAGTTGTACTATACAATCGCATTTCTTAAAGTATACCAGTATTTACTTACCACTGCCCGGTTCTGAAGTATTAATAGCCCCGTAGTGATCGATACCTGGACAGCACAAGATAAATATTTTATTCTGGTACAAAGATTGAAGGACTATCATAAATGTGTGTGAGAAGCAAATATGATAAGCAATGTTTTGAGATGAAAATTCGGTATATAAGTGCTTACAGAGAGGACATTCTTAAGCATTGACACACAATTAAGGACTAGGGAGAGCCCCAAACCCGATAGCATAGCTACGTAAGGATAACTTGATAGCAATGGTATGCTTAGAGCCTGCATCAAACCCAAAAGACAATAAAATGAACAATACTCCGTAATAAATACTTGTAGGATTTGACAGAACATGATTTGGATATAATCAAGAGATTTGATAGTAATACAGATTCATAATTTTCTCTGTTTTATAATAGTTTTGTATTCCTTTTAAGGTTGAAGTCCACCATTCCTCTATAGATCAGAAATATTGTACTACGTAATTGTTTATAGATATTAAGAAGTTGTTACTTGTTAGCTCAATGTCATACCAAATAGTCAACAATCTTAAATACCATTTTGCAACAACAAAAATGAAACTTAGAGACGGTAAGGGGCATACTGCTCCAACACGTGATATCATGACAGGCCCAAGCGGCTTCTCCACCAACGGATAAATGAAAAGCTGAAAGAGTAAAAGTCCCATGCCTAGAAGTACAAGAATATTGCATTGCAGAAGCAATACAATAAAAATCAGTTGCTTCTTACTTTTAAGGATCATTAAGTACAGTTAATACAGGAAACCAAAAATTACTTTGAAAATGAACATTTGTATGTATGTAGGCATGTAGCAGTTGTGATGTACTTGTGTACCTGTAATAGCCAAGACTTGACCAACATCTGAAGTTGTAAAGCTCAACCCCCCAATCTTTCTTGGACTAACAGCCCACAGAGAAAAGATCTGATGAGTATCTCAAGTTAGAAGAAATCAAGATAGTAAGGCGGGTCTAATGTAGCATACAGTTTGTTGGAGCACACAAAAATCTTATAATCAGCGTAATCTTTTAGGGTCTTAGATTGATGGTACTTTTGAACTTAATTTGAACTGTGAGCCTATTAGTACTTAAGTTCCACCCTGAAATGTTAATGTAAAAGGAGTAGTTCAAATTCTAATGTGTGAGTTTGTGGGGTGGATTAATATCGGACACCGGGAGTTATCAGGGAGTTATCAGGGGGAAAAGAAAAAAGATAACCGTATTGAACAATCATAATTTCATTAAGAAAGAAAAGAACTAGTTCTCGTACCTCCAAATAAGCTATATCATGAAGTTGGAAAACACAATAGACAAGAATAGATGATATTAAGGGCCAATTCTTCATAAGGCTTTTCTTTGAACTTGGAGCCTCTTGTTTAGGATACTTGGAAACATCTCCCTGTTTGTTTCCTTTCGTATGAGTGTGCATCGTTTCCTAATTCAAATCAATATGTAGAGATTGAGTCATAATTATGTTTATGGGTCAAGCTCATACTCAAAAGCAGGGTGGACCCGGCCGGTTCTAGTCTAGTCCCAGACTAGCTGGTTCTGGGTAAGAGAGATCAGCATCTTAAGTCCTTAACCATGTAAACCAATTCCAGTTCCAGGGTTTTCGCTTATTCTTCAAAAATGAAACAATTAAAAAACATCTGGAACAGTTCGATTCCGGTCCTATTTTAGAGAAATCGAAACCGGTTTGGATCGATTCCAGCTACCGGAACCCTAAAAGATGAAATCCAACCATTTACCTAATTGATCATGTAGCATTATATACTGATTTATTGATATATTTTCTGAATGTGGGACATTTATTAATGGTATGAGAGGTATAAAGAATCATACCGGAAGCCACAGGGAAACGACTGACGCAATCAATGCAATCACTGATATCATAAGGCAAGGCAGGAAGTAAGGGAATCTGCAAGTTTAAAAGTGGTAAAAACAAAATGCTGAGCTGAGAAACAAAAACAGGTAAGTGGGGAACAACTATATAGATACACTTAAAAGAGCAACTATACACATAGCTTACTTCCCAAAAAATGACTCTTCTGAAAATATGTTTGGATACTTCTCTGCAGGCTTGAAATTTGATTTATTTTTTATAAAAGAAAAAAAAAAACAAATGAGTAATTAGAAATGCAGAAGCCAAGATGAACAAAATAAATAAACATAAGTGGCAGCAAGTTTCCAAAGGGAAAACATGTTTTACCTGTGCAAAATAACCTCCTATAGCAGGACCAATCACCAAACCTATACCCCAAGATGTGCTCACCTGGAACACCATACTAATTGTAACTATAAGTGTATAAAAGTCACACATATAAATTTAAAGACATACGGGAGCGGCGGCGAACCCCAGAGGATATAGTGGGCTAAGCCGATACAAAGGATTTTTTCAAATAAACTTAAACATTTTTCTTTTTACACATAAATTCAAAGCATTTTTCGAATTTGGGGTAGGCCGAGTCTAGTATGGCCCCCCTAGCGGGGGGGGGATATAACATTGCATTAGACTACTTTATTAATACAAGTATACAACCAACCACAGGGGAATATGAGCAACAACTTACAGCAGATATGCCCAAAGCATGATACTCTTTCCGGCAAATCTCAGAAGCATATGCCTATAGAAGGAATGTGATCAAACATGGTTATTGGTCATACTATAACAAAAAAAATTGTTTGTATTGATGACTGAAATTTCCAAGAGTGATACCAAACATACCCTCATGGTACCAATTATTCCACACAAACTTCCAAGAAGAAATCTTGTAACAATTGCCATCCAATAGTTTAAACTTAGGCCAAAAAGGGTATTGAATACAACCCTGTAAATCATTTCATCAACGTGAAGGCTTAGAAAAAAGGAAAAAATACTATCATAAAAAAATGTTTGTGGAATAACTGAAATTGATTGTTTTAAGACAAATATTACGAGAAAGTATGACCCCAAAAAATATAATCTCTACCTTTTCCATGACAAAATGACCACAACTTTTGATGTTTTCATTTTTAAGAAAAGTAACCAAAATAGGACTAAATAATTCTGAAACAAATTCTATCCCTATACTTTTTTCTCCCTCCCACACCAGCCTTTGAACTGTCACTATCGCTGGCAGCCAGCGCCACTGCTGCTGCCTGACATGTGGGGCGGCGTCGCGGCGACAGTGTCAGTAGAGACGAAGGTCATGAGTGTGACATGTTAAAAGTAACATCTTTCGTCTTTTTTTAGATTAATTTAAAAGTGATCACACTCTTTGTCAATCAAACTATCTTAGTAATATGGGAGGAAACCCCATTTTACTAACACTGTAAGTGTGCCAATCATAACGACAGGCCTTCTGCCATATCGATCCGCAATGATACCCCAAAGAACAGATGTCAAAGCTCTTCCCAGCATGAATGATGAGCCTGTGGTAACATTGCCAAAACTATCATGTTAAGTTGAAGATTTTAGAAGGTTGTTCAGTTTAGCATTTGGCGGGAATTTTCTAGAACAGTGGACCAAGAACTACTAACCGACATATCCAGCATAATAACTAATATCTTCCTCTCTTTCTGCAATGTTAAAATCTCTAACCTGCCAAAATTAAAATTAAAAGACTGGCATAACTACTTGTGAGAGTTAACCCAATAATTACGCAAAACCCAAAAAAATAGAAGCTTGGGTTCCATTCTACACTTCTTGGAGTAGATCATTCTAATCTTCAAGTTCATGTGCTCATTCTTTGCACTTAGGATGTAGGATGTGGCTCGTACAAACTTAATTGCTCTTATAGAAATTGAGTTTCATGCTAAAATATCAATCAGATGAAGTAACTCAAAGCTTTATTGGTTTGTATCAACGTGACATAACTTAACATTGGGCTCTTAATAATAACTTAACATTGGGCTCTTTAATGATAGTGATAGTGAAAGTGGCTATGATGGTGCAGAAAGTGCTACATCTATCTCATAAAATTTGATCAAACTTGATTTACACATAATATAAGAAGAAAATTGTGATTGAGATTTACAGAGAGAAGAGATAAAATAATTTTAACTGCATATTAGAACAATTGAATATAAGGAAAATTTAATAGTTTTGTGGGAAGGAAGGAGTATTTCTGCTCTTTAAAAACATTCTTATGACAATTTCAGAAAAATCTCATAAAAAAATGTTTAAATCACTTAAGCTAGACTCATTCCTTAGATCTAAGATCTTACCATGAAATATTATATTTTTAGTAATAATCTTACCATGAAATATAGGAAAGGAAAGAGAGATGATATTGGCAGAGCTGCAAAAAAAACCAAAAGTATGTACTAACGTGAGACTGGACATATAGAAGTTACAATAAAATAGGCTCTAACAACAAGTGCTAATTATAAAAATAAAACCTTATACCATTACTCCATCCACTGTTGAACTCAGAGTTAGTGTTAATTTATGGTGCAGTGAGAAAAAATGTATGATCAAGGATTTAAAATGGCATTTGAGTCCAATTATTATATTCAGTAATATAGTCACATCTTGTTCACTAAGATTACAATGGCATTGCAATTTTTATTGCTGTCTACACAAGTTCTAGTTGTAGTGCATATAGACCGGTAGGATGTATTTTGTGTTTTGAAATTTGAGAGAGACCCTTTGGTAACCATTATTTTTTAACAATATTTGATTTCACACGTTGAATTAGATAATAATCAAATTAAGCAAGATTGAACTTATTAATAGCCTAATGTCTGTTTAGGAATATGACCAATATCTATTTAGGAATATTTTGCAATTTTTTAATGATACAATTGACATAGTTAAATTTATAATTCTAATTCACATTTAGAGTACACAATTTAGAATTTAAACAAAGGGATTACATTATGTTTCTTGTTTGCCAAAGAAAAATAATTTATGGCAAAAGTACATAGCAGTGTAGGGATGAACCGAATTTATGTCTATTCATAACCCGGTATTCCTGGTTCTGTTTTGAGAAAGAAATGCAGAGGACCAACTATTCATCCTCATCACTTTCATATTCTTTACACAATGATACTAATACATTGCTTTTCAGGCTTGTTGGTTCACTAGGCTGCTGCTTCTTCACAACAGGTACTTTAACTGTTGATGATTTTGCAAAGACATTTGTGAGATTACTGCTTATTTCTTCAGGCTGCTCTCTCTTAAGAAAATTGATTGATGATTCTCCACTTTTATGTTCAACTGCATCTATATCCTCATCATCTTCATCCTCATCTTCAATATCTTCATCATGGATTCGTCTTATGAACTTCTCTCTCTCTCTCCTTTGAATAAGTATTTAATAAGAGCTTCCTCTTCTTCCTCCGTTTTTCTTTCCTTTTCCTCGGTAGAGTCTCTTAGAGCCTCAAGCATAGTATCCACACTCACAGTTGCATGCCTGGACTTCATGGATTTCATTTCATCCAAAGCTGCGAGAATATCCATTTCTCTTTTTGAATCCAGGGTCCTATTTTCCAAAGATTTCATAGCATCGCCCATTTCTTCGGCCTCCCTTTTCTGTCTCTCTTTATCCAAAACCTCGTCTTGGTCTAGCCAAGGCTCAGAGTTCCTGGTTGCACCTGACTCAACAACATAATCGGAATTTTTTGGATCTGTCTTGTATGCAATCTCTGCAGAGCACTTAGTGCACTTGAAGTAGAACCTGAATATTTGAATACCCAAATAGGTCTCACCCAGGGCGTCTTCTTTGGGTGAGTTGAATTTGGTGCCCTTGTAGATGTAATTCCCACAAGTACTACACCTAACGCTCATTGGGAGCATCATCCGGGCCTTCATCTGCTGATTCTTCGGCTGCCTACGGCGTGGAATCTTCGCCGGATCGAAATCCGGCGGGTAGTACTTGTTCAAAACCTTTCTTTCTCCCATGGCTAATCAGTCCTCTCGACCCAATCAAAATCACACAGTATTCAGAACGCAGCAGCCAAATATAATCTGGGCAGAAGCACAAAAATGTCCTTCGCGAGCAAGTTCCTTGATATGGATTCTGTCACCTCCAAGAGATCTCCTGCGCGGCGGAACAACGGAAGGTGAAAATTGAGAAGGGCCGATCGGTGGAATCGCCGAAGGAGGTGGCGGAGTGCAGGTGACCGGGCGTGAGACGTGTTAGAGCCTGGCTTAGTGACTGCGTGCTGGCGCTTCTTCTTCCCCTTCGGTTCCGCACTTCCGCATACGTCCTCCAGCCTTCTTCTTTTATTTCTTCTTTTACTCCGTATTTCTTAAATAATACTCGTACTCCGTATCTATTTAGGAAAATTTGGGAAAAGCTTAAAATAGGCTCCCTGTTAATACGAAAAAAGTCAACTAAGCCTCCGAACTAAAAAACACTCAATTAAACTCACGAACTATAAAAAACGAGGCAAAACAGTCCTTTTAGCATGTAATTAACCGGTTCCCGGTAAACCTTTACACGTGTCGACAGCCGACAGGTAGCCACAAATGGCAACACGTGTGCGACACGTGGACTAATGGAACCGGTTAATTACATGCTAAAAGGTTTTTTTTGCCTCATTTTTTATAGTTTGTGGGTTTAATTGATTTTTTTTAGTTCGGGGACTTAATTGAATTTTTCGTATTAATAGAGGGGGCTTATTTGGCAACTCCTACTCCATATTATACGACGTACATTAGCTCCTATTGAAATACTTTTATTACTCTTTCTCATTATTACGCCTTTATTACTTTTTCTAATAAGTTGAAATTATCATTTAGTTATTTTTCACTTTCAACTCAAAGGGCCACCAATCACCATAACCAACCCTTCCAAATAGTACTAGATGTTTGGCTTATTCGAATTGTTAAACCATGATTCGGTATATAATTAGGATATTTTTATTTGGACGGTAATTTGTCTCAGACCAGAATAAATCAGATCAGACCGGACCAGACTTGGGTAGTTATAAAAATACAAAGAAACCAGATCAGACCAAATCAGACCAGATCAGACCAACAAATTACAGTCCAAGTAAAAACATCCTTGTACTACGTACGGAGTATATAATAACACACAAATTGTCTCCATAATACTTTACAGATAAGAAGAGTAATATTACAGATAAGAAGAGTAATTCTAAATATATAAATATTACTACGTACTTCGTATAAAAGTAGTGAACACAAATATGACTCTAGTAACTTTAGTGACTATAATTATATTAAGATGTTAGATCATAATGTATACAAACTTACATAACATATAGCCACATTTTTTCCCACAGATTTTTAAGCAGTACTACATAACATTTTAGGGAAACCTCTACAAACAAAATGTAAGGAGCGTGTGGACAAATATGTACTTATCATAGCATTTTTAAAAATTGTTAGGACTGGTGATATAGTTATAACTCTCGAACAATATCAAAATACTCAAAATTAGATAACAATCATAAAATTACTGAAGCACAAAAGTACTAAAAAGAATTACCCAAAGAACATGTCTGTAAGTCTGTTCTAGTAATTTATTATTCAATTTTGTTTCACATACATTCTTTGTGTACACGTCTGTACGTTTTTCATGGTAGGGTTTGTCTAGTAACACGGGCATATAGAAGTCACCCTGTACAAAAAAGCAATTTTTACCTAGTACAGAGTATGATTTTAGTTTTAGGATACAAGTACAAAGTTGACTAAATTAGTTGATTCCAACAAAATTTGTGAATTATTGGCTAGACTTACTCGGCTGCTTTATTAAAAAAATTGTAATCAAAATATGTTTCATTAATAAAATAAAGAAAAATACATGTAGTATATGAAAAAATAATTAAAATTATCATTTACAATAACTTTGGTCAATGCATTTCAGAAAAATAACTTCGACCTTATTTATTTTTATTATTACACAATTCAGCGTACAAAATTAAAAATTCCGTGTTTAACGTAAAGGTGATAAAAGACTTAGGGAGTGTTTGCAATTGCTTCAACTTTAAAAAAGTGATTTTTTAAAGTGATTTTGAGAAAAGTGATTAATAGTAAAAGTTGGTAGTGTTTGAGAAAAAGTGATTCTGGAAAAGTAAAAGTTGGTAGTGTTTGGTAAAATAAGTACTTTTTGTGTAATAGAAAAAGTGAGAAGCAGTTTAAAACACCCTTCTACCTGCTTCCAGCTTTTAGCTTTTAAGTGATTAATTTAAGCAGAAGCTGTCACTTGAAAACATTCTTTTCAACTTTTTTTAAGTCAAAAGCTGAAAAGTGCTTTTTTTAAGCAAACCCAAACACTCCTTTATAAGCCCAAAAACAAAATTAACAAAGAGAGTCAATGTCCTGCTTATTTGACTTATATACCCAAAATATCACGTGCATTTTGTTGAAGTGACAACAAAAAAAGAGAGAAGTCAGGTATAGGGGTAGACGTGATTAACGGACCGGCGCAGAGGGTGACGATGGAGATGAAGAAGACGTGCTTGACCGGAACGCCGGCGTCAGCGCGTTTGAGAAGCTCGACCCGGCAACCGGGGCAGCTCTCATCATCATCTTTTCGCTGGCTCTGCTTCAACAATGGCTCTGTTTTCTCCTCTTCCGCCATTGATTTGGCTCGCTCCATTACGTACAACGACGGCTCTTAGCTCTGAATTTATTTATTATGGAGAGAAAGAGAGGATTTAACAGAGTGCAGTAACGCCTGGTAGTTGGGAGGGCAAAGGCAATCATCTCGCCCGCATTTATTGCTTTCATTTCCCAGACGAATTCCTCCATCTCCATATTAATCGAATTCCCTCACTCCCAATGTTCTACTCCCATAATCATTACTTCCTCCGTTCTTAAATAAGTGCAACGGTCAACATTGCACACTTCTCGAGACACAACTTTGACCATTAATATATATAATTCTTTATTAGTAAAAAAATTTAAAAAAATAGATTTTGAAAATTTACAATGAGACAAACTTAACATTATTTTTTTTCAAGAAAATATATTAATACATTATTTAATTAAACGTAGTAAAAGTAGAACATGTGAATAGTGTAAAATTCTGCATGTTGCACTTATTTAAGAACGAAGGTAGTACTACGTACGTACAATATGATTTTATATACTACCTACGTGACTATGTCCCTAAAAAAATCGGCATATTGATATTTCTCGATCAATTCTGGCAAACTTTGGACAATAATTTTCATTATTATATTTGTATACTCTCTGTATCACATATATCTTCCCACTTCCAAAGTGGGTGAGATTAAGAATAGTGAAATGAGGTATGAATTATTGAGGATATGATGGGGAGATAATGAAATAATGTGATGAAATGAAGGATAAATCCAAAAAAATAGGTGTAATAGTGTATTATTTTTTAAATTATTGAGGGTATGATGGGAAGATTCAGAAATGAAAAGATATAAATGTTACGTCCAAAAAAGGAAAGTGGGAAGATATGAATGTTACGGAGGGAGTATAATTTATAAATTTTATACTTTTATAAAAATATTTTGAGTAGTGAACATTTTCATATAATTTTCATATTCTGAATAATTTCGTGGTCAAAATTATCATTGGTCAAAGTTGATTGCAATTGACCACAAAAATCAATTTGAATTGGCAAACCTTTTCGGGGACTGAGAGAGTATATATCTCGAATTCCCCCCTGTCTAAAGAAGAGAGGTTTTAAAAGAGTCATGTCATAACTTAAGAATGCTCACACAAAAAATCGCTGCCTTTCACTTGACAGGGTTTCTGTGGTTTGAGGTGTGGTAATACTTTGTCGATTTTGTGCGGCTTGGGATTGACGGACGAAAGGCAGGGAACGGCTATGGCATCGGGCGGTGTCCAGGTATAAGGCAGCGGCGAACAGCACGACAAAGATGGGGAGGCTTCATCGGTTGGAGGGAGCGGACATCTGGAGCAGCTCATAGACAAGCATGTCGACATGGGTTTGGGACCAGTACCGGACGAGTTGTTACTAGAGGATGACGAAGGCACAGAGACTGATTTCGGTGCGGCGGAAAGGGAGCCGATTACATTTCCAGTAGTGGGCATGATTCTCACGGACAAAGTGGTGATGTTCCAAATTTTCATAGACTTGATGGTGGCTCTGTGGCGTCCGAGCACAGGAGTGTGCATCCAAGAGATTGGAGAGAGGAGGTATCTGTTTAAATTTTATCATATAGTTGATATGACTCGTGTGTTGGAAAATGGGCCATAGTTGTTTGATTAAAACATGTTGGTGCTAAGGGTCATAAAACTGAGTGATATTCCTCCGAAGGTCCCCCTGGATTCGGCTGATTTTTGGGTTCAGATGCACAATATTCCATATGGATTTTCGAATCTGGGCACCACTCGGAGAATTGGGAACCACCTAGGGAAATTTATTACCTGGGATGATAACCAATTCTATGAGATATGGGAGACCTATATGAGGGTTAGGTGAATTTGGATGTGAGAAACCCCTTGAAGGTGGGAACAACCTTGAAGAAGAGTAAAGGGGAAGACTATTGTGTTGATTTCACGTACGAAAAACTTCTAAGTTTCTGTTTTGCTTGTGGAATTATAGGACATGTTGAGAGGTTCGTTTTTGCCCTTTATTGTATGAAAAATGGGATAAAAATATTGTTAAATCTTTTGGTCCGTGGTTACGGGCGGGAGGAGGGAGGCCTCGCCCATCTTTGGGTATTAAATGGCTTGTGAGTGATGGAGGTGTCGGGAGAGGTATAACTAAGACGGAAAGAAACTACAAGGAGAAGCTTAAACGGGGCCAGAGCAACACAGAAGATTAAATCTAGGGAGGAATGCGGCCACTTAATAAGGATGGAGCGGGACAGAGTAGCAGCGGACCAGGAGAATGGAAGAGAAGGCGTACATGGGAAGCACATGAGCAGGAGAACTTAGAGGTGACTGTCATGGCTCTTGATGAAGCAAAAAATAGAGAAAAGGCGGGCTGGAGCATCCACGCCCGCCAAAATCCATGAAGTTTTGGTGTTCTCTACATGTTAAAGATTTTTTCAATTTAGACTTATTTTCTTTCATGTTGTTTTTTGTTTTGGACATCGTGTGTTTTTGTTTGCTTTTATTTTTATTCATGCTAGAACTCTAGAACATAGGACAGGTGATGGAGAGTGTAGTTTACAAATCATTGGTTCATGTAAGCCCAATTCAAGATCAGTGAATCTGGTTGCTTCTATGGAGGTGGCAGGTTCTATATATGTCTGGTTCAAGGGCAAATGGTAGACAATGGACTCTTTGCCTGGTTGTATCATGCTTACGTTCTATTATCTTAATATAAGCCACCTTCAATTCTTCCAAAAAAAATAGTTATGTCTATATGGGCATCATCATAACTAGGGGTGGTTCGGTACAGTATACTGAATATATTTTCTTATACCTTTGTCGTACCAAAACTTTCAGTATACAAAATTTATATACCGTTACCTTACCGAAGTTTCGGTATACCGAAGTTTCGATTCGGTAACGGTACGGTATAGGTAAATTACCATGTATATCTCCCAATCCAACAAATTATCATAGACTAACAAAATATTCTAAATCAGTGTTAATAGCGACATATTTAATTCATTATAAAAAATGTTACAAATACAATTATTAATCTATAGATGTCATATTCAATATTAAACAATAATTATTATTAGTATATTTAAGCAGTTAAACATACCACGTATTGAAAAATAACACATTCTCCTGAAATAACTTGAACAATATAAATATAATTAAATCAATAGTGATCTCTAGCCAAAATAAATAAAATTATTCAAACAGCGTAGATATAAAATCATTTATTCATAATATGATATTATGTATTTAGTCATTTTTTTAATTTTTAAAAAATATTTGAATAAGACTTTCGGACAAAGTTGTGTACCTCTGCTCGCGGAATCCCTAGGTTGATACACTCGTCACATAACTACATAAGTGTATCCCTCTTCACTCGTCAGCTACTCAGTGGCTCAGCTACCGTGACTCGCAAGTTCTTGCTTGGAACAAGATGAAATTATTTTTGAACATTAGTACATTACTCATTAGCCATTAGGGTTAGTTTTTTTTTAATGTTACGTAGTAGAAGCCTAGAAGGTTATAGTGAGTTTGGGAAATTGGGTCTTTATTTTTGTATTTTGGTTTTTCTAACCAACTTAAGTATTATTTTTGGGGTTCAAAATTGTAATGGACATTTACAATATTTTAGGATTAAAAATAATTGTTGGGTAGGGAATCGGTACGGTATTATACTGGTATACCACGGTATGCAAAAACATTTATCGTTACCGTACTGAAATAAATCGGTACGGTATAATACCGTACCGAAAATGACGGTAAACCAATTTTCTGGTATTTTTCGGTACGGTAAGTGCGATATACCAATTTTCCGGTATTTTTGCCCACCCCTAATCATAACCACATATCTCTTTTGCCCGAATTTTCTAAAAAAACGTGGAGGTAATGATGCCACATGGGACATATGATTTCATAGAAGAAATAATTCTGAGATATGACTAAAATATATTCAGTTTCCTGAAATATGACTACTTTTGTTTTTATACATTCGTATAAATAATAATAATAATAATAATAATAATAATAATAATAATAATAATAATAATAATAATAATAATAATAATAATAATAATAATAATAATAATAATAATAATAATAATAATAATAATAATAATAATAATAATAATAATAATAATAATAATAATAATAATAATAATAATAATAATAATAATAATAATAATAATAATAATAATAATAATAATAATAATAATAATAATAATAATAATAATAATAATAATAATAATAATAATAATAATAATAATAATAATAATAATAATAATAATAATAATAATAATAATAATAATAATAATAATAATAATAATAATAATAATAATAATAATAATAATAATAATAATAATAATAATAATAATAATAATAATAATAATAATAATAATAATAATAATAATAATAATAATAATAATAATAATAATAATAATAATAATAATAATAATAATAATAATAATAATAATAATAATAATAATAATAATAATAATAATAATAATAATAATAATAATAATAATAATAATAATAATAATAATAATAATAATAATAATAATAATAATAATAATAATAATAATAATAATAATAATAATAATAATAATAATAATAATAATAATAATAATAATAATAATAATAATAATAATAATAATAATAATAATAATAATAATAATAATAATAATAATAATAATAATAATAATAATAATAATAATAATAATAATAATAATAATAATAATAATAATAATAATAATAATAATAATAATAATAATAATAATAATAATAATAATAATAATAATAATAATAATAATAATAATAATAATAATAATAATAATAATAATAATAATAATAATAATAATAATAATAATAATAATAATAATAATAATAATAATAATAATAATAATAATAATAATAATAATAATAATAATAATAATAATAATAATAATAATAATAATAATAATAATAATAATAATAATAATAATAATAATAATAATAATAATAATAATAATAATAATAATAATAATAATAATAATAATAATAATAATAATAATAATAATAATAATAATAATAATAATAATAATAATAATAATAATAATAATAATAATATAATAATAATAATAATAATAATAATAATAATAATAATAATAATAATAATAATA